GTAACATACAAGGGTGCCCAGATATGGCTAGGAGCTGACTTCTAAACAGAAACACTACAGCCAGAAGAGAATGGCAAGAAATATTCCAGGTAATGAAAAGCAAGGGCCTACAACCAAGGCTGCTCTACCCAGCAAGCCTCTCAATTAAAATAGAAGGGGAAATAAGGAGTTTCCCAGACAAAAGAAATCTAAAAGAATACGTCTCCACCAAACCAGTGCTACAAGATATGCTAAAGGGACTGGTTTAAGAAGATGAAGGAAAAGAGTGAGAAAAAGAAAAACACAGGTACGATGAGAAGAAATGAAAGGATACTATCAGTAATAACTCCCAATGTAAATGGACTAAATGCCCCAGTCAAAAGACACAGGATAGCTGAATGGATAAGAAAACATGACCCACTCATATGCTGCCCACAAGAGACCCACCTCAGAGCAAAAGACCTACACAGATTGAAAGTAAAGGGATGAAAAAAAATATTCCAGGCTAATGGACAAGAGAAGAAAGCAGGGGTAGCAATACTTATATCAGACAAAATAGATTTCAAAACAAAGGCCATAAAAAGACACCCAGAGGGGCACGTTATAATACTGAAGGGAAGAATCCATCAAGAAGACATAAACATTGTAAACTTATATGCACCCAACATAGGGGCACGCATATATATAAGGAAAACCTTGGATGACTTCAAAAAAGATATAGACAGCAACACACTGAGTAGGGGATTTTTACACCCTACTGTCAAAAGTGGACAGATCTTCCAAACAAAACATCAACAAGGATATTGTGGAGCTGAATGATGCACTGAATCAAATAGATTTAACTGACATATATAGAACCTTGCATCCCAAAGAAGCGAAATACACATAATTTTCAAATGCGCATGTAAGTTTTTCAAAGATAGACTACAGGATAGGACACAAAATAAGCCTCAGCAAATTCAGAAAAATTGAAATAATACCAAGCTTTTTCTTGGACCACAAGGGCTTAAAACTGGAAATCAACCTCAAAGAGAAACCTCAAAAAATTGCAAACTCATGGAGACTGAACAGTAGACTATTAAACAATGAATGGGTCAATAATGAGATAAGAAAAGGAATCAAAAAATTTCTGGAAACAAATGAAAATGAACAGACAACAGTCCAAAACCTATGGGACACAGCAAAGGCATTCCTGAGAGGGAAGTTCATAGCAATACAGGCGTACCTAAAAAAATAGAAACATTTCAAATAAATAACCTAACACTACATTTTCAAGAACTGGAGAAACAACAACAAATAAATCCCAGAGCAAGTACAAAGAAGGAAATAATCAAGATTAGAGCAGAACTGAAGTACATAGAGATGAAAAGAACAATTCAAAGGATCAACGAATCCAAGAGCTGGTTCTTTGAAAAGATAAATAAAATTGACAAGCCTTTAAGCAGACTCATCAAGAAAAAAAGGGAGAGGACCCAAATTAATAATATCAGAAATGAAAGAGGAGAAATAACAACTGATACCACAGAAATACAAAGGATAGTAAGAAACTACTATGAACAATTATATGCCAAGAAATTTGAAATCCTTGATGAAAGGGACACATTTCTAGAAAAGTATAATCTTCCAACAGTGAAGGAGGAAGAAACAGAAAGCTTGAACAGACCGATAACAGCTGGGGGAATTGAAGCAGTAATCAAGAAACTCCCAGCACACAGAAGCCCTGGGCCGGATGTTTTCTCAGGAGAATTTTACAAAACGTTTAAGGAAGAACTAACGCCTATCCTTCTCACAGTATCCCAAAAGATCCAAGAGGAGGGAAGACTCCCAGACTCTTTTTATGAGGCCAGCATCATCCTAATCCCAAAACCAGATAAAGACACTACAAAGAAAACTACAGGCCAGTTTCGCTGATGAACATAGACGCTAAAATTCTCAGCAAAATATTGGCAAACCGCATCCAGCAATACATTAAAAAGATTATCCACCATGATCAAGTGAGATTCATCCCAGAGATGCAGGGATGGCTCTATATATGCAAATTAATAAACATAATACAACACATAAATGAAAGACAAGACAAAAAACACATGATCATCTCGATAGATGCAGAAAAAGCATTCATTAAGGTACAGCACCCATTTATGATCAAAACACTCAACAAAATGGGAAAAAATGGGGCATTCCTCAACGTAATAAAGGCCATATATGAAAAACCTGCAGCCAACATCATACTCAATGGGCAAAAACTAAAAGCTTTTGCACTAAGATCGGGAACATGACAAGGATGTCTGCTTTCACCACTTCTCTTCAACATGGTACTGGAAGTCCTAGCCACAGCAGTCAGACAAGAAAAAGAAATAAAAGGCATCCAAATAGGAAAGGAGGAAGTAAAACTATCATTGTTTGCAGATGACATGATAGTATACATAGAAAACCCTGTAGACTCCACCAAAAAACTACTCAATCTAATAAGTGAATTTGGCAAAAGAGTCGGATACAAAGTCAACATTCAGAAATCAAAGGCATTTTTGTACACCAGCAATGAAATAGAAGAAGAAGAAATCAGAAAAAAAATACCATTCGATAGAGCAACAAGAAAAATAACGTACCTAGGAATAAATTTAACCAAGGAGGTAAAAGACCTGTACGCAGAAAACTATACAACATTGAAGAAAGAAATTAAGGAAGACACAAATAAATGAAAGCATATGCCGTGCTCATGGATTGGAAGAATTAATATCATCAAAGTGTCCATAATACCCAAAGCAATTTATAGATTTGACGCAATCCCTATTAAGATACCAATGACGTATTTCACAGAAATAGAACAGACATTTCAAAAACTTATATGGAACCATAAATTACCCCAATAGCCTCAGCAATTTTGAGAAAGAAAAACAAAGTAGGAGGGACCACAATGCCGTACATCAAACTATATTACAAAGCCACTATACTCAAAACTATCTGGTACTGGCAGAAGAACAGAACCATAGACCAGTGGAAAAGCATAGAAAGCCCAGAAATAAACCCAGGAGTATATGGGCAACTAATACTTGACAAAGGGAGCAGAGGCATAAAGTAGAGTAATAATAGCCTCTTCAACAAATGGTGTTGGGAGAGCTGGACGGCTACATGCAAAAAATTGAAATTGGATCATCAGCTCACACCATACACAGAAAGAAACTCAAGATGGAGAAAAGATCTAAATATAAGTTGCAACACCATCAAAGTCCTAGAGGAGAACATTGGCAGGAAACTCAGATATCCCATGCAGCAATTTTTTCACTGATATCTCTCCTAAAGCAAGGGACATAAAGGAAAGAATAAACAAGTGGGACTTCATCAAAATAAGAAGCTTCTACATAGCAAAAGCAGACATCAGCAAAATGAAAAGGGAGCCAAACGTATGTGAAAATATATTTGCTAATGATACGTCAGATAGAGGTTTGATCTCCAAAATATATAAAGAACTGACTCGACTCCACTACAGGAAGACAAATGATCCAATCAAAAAATGGTCAAAGGACCTGGGCAGACGCTTTTCCAAGGAAGAGATACAGAGGGCCCAGAGGCATTTTAAAGGATCCTTGGCATTACTAGCCATCAGAGAAATGCAGATCAAAACCACAATGAGATACCACATCACACCAAGTCAGAATGGCCATCATAAACAGATCAACAAACAACAGGTGCTAGCGAGCCTGTGGAGAAAAGGGAACCCTAGTACACTGCTGGTGGGAATGCAGAGTGGTGTAGCCATTGTGGAAAGCAGTGTGGAATTTTCTCAAAAAGCTGAAAATGGAACTACCCTTTGACCCAGTGATTCCTCTGCTGGGACTATACCCTAAGAATCCCAAAACACCAATCCAAAATCCTATGTACCCCAATGTTCATAGCAACACAAATTACAATAGCCAAGTGTTGGAAGCAACCTAAATGTCCATCAGTAGATGATTGGATCAAAAATTATGGTACATTTACACAATGGAATACTATGCAGCAGAAAGAATAAAAGAACTACTAAACTTCGCGGCAGCATGGATGGAACTAGAGAGCATTATGCTAAGAGAAATAAGCCAGGGAGCGAAAGACAAATACCATATGATCTCACCTATAAGCGAAACCTAACCAACAAAACAAAGATGCAAGGAAAATAAGACCAGCAGCACTGAAAGGAAAAGAAACCAACAGAGACAAGAGGGAAGAAGGGAGGGGTGGGCGGGGGGGGAAGGAAAAGAAGGGGCACATCAAGGAACATATAGCAAGGACTCATGGACAAAGCCAAAGTGGGGAACAATTGAGGGAGGGAGAGGGAGGAGAGGGCAGGGGAAAGTGGTGAGGGTAAGGCAGAGACAAATGTATTTGGAAAAATAAATAATTAAAATAAGAAAAATAAAAAAGCAATTAAGTAACATGTATTTGTATAGCACATTCTACTCTAGTACCAGGAAATGCTAAAAAATACATTATGTTTTCAATAGGCACAGTAGATTATATACCACAAACCTAAAATGTTTCTAAAATTTTGAAACAATGTGTTTTGCTTTGCCTTAACAAAAATCAAAAACAAAAAAACAAAAAAACAAAAAAAAACCAGTTTAAGAATGTCCCACCATCCCAAGTCCTTGTTCCTGTTGCCTCGATAACTCCAACTGCTAACTTCAACTGCTGATGATGGGCTTTTCATATAGAAATCCAAGGATACTGTGCCACCTGCTAGCAGCAGGCAGTACACCCATGAAGAGAACTGGGTACTTTCCTCCAAGAAAGCTCATTAAAGGGTGTGAAAACATTAAGAGATCTTTTTAGGGCCATTATAGCCAAAGTTCCCAGTATTTGGAAATCAGGGTAACTTATTTCTTTATATTGGCTTCTTTAATTAAACTATACAGAGGTTTATATAGAATTATTTAGATAGAACATGTGCTTCATTTGTTAATTCCAATGCGTAGGTGCCTTTGAATATAAAAGCTTATTTGTGTGCATGTGTGTTGTTGTTGTTGTTGTTGTTGTTGTTTTAGAAGTCTCAGCGCAAATGGAAATCTCTGATATTCAGCAGGACTGGAAACCTTCCTTCCTCAGTAATGAAGAATTCACCCAGCTGATGTTGGAGGTAAAGTGCATTTTCAAATTAACTTAACTTGTTGCAAATTTAAAATGTATCTGCTTATTCCAGCTAAGACCCTGTGTCCAAATAAACAACTGTTCTTGACCCTGGAAAGAGGTTTTGAACCACTCTCCTGAAGCTCCCATGCTACTGCTTATGTTTTAGTAACTGAGTTGGGACTATAAGCAAGAATCCCCAAATTGAAGATGCATGTGTACTGTTGCTATAGTGACTGCAGAGCAGCTCCTTTCATGGTCTTCCAACCAAAGGACACCTAGTGAGGGAATGGGGAGGGGCTGGAGCTTGAGGTACGTTAGAGGGAGAGGAATGGGAGAGGAAAGTTCCATCTCTGCACTGTCTTACAGCTCAGAGTCTCCTGTTGAGAATACAATGATTACATTTTTCCCTAAGTAGAACACATTTTGAAAACAAATGTCTTCTTCTAAAGTTAAAATTTTAACTTGAGTTCATATTACATCAACATAACATGTGAGTGTCAACCATTAGTGACCCTGTGCCTCCCCACCCAGCACACACCCTTTCCAAGGCAAAAAAGATGCTCATATTCCTCCCTCTAGAAAATGAAGTGCCCATGGCCATCTGGAGGGCTACATTATGGATATCTGGCTGATCTGAGCCAGTGGACTTCCTTAAAGTCATGTATTTGTATATGGACGATACGATACCCCTCCATAACAAATGATGATAAATCTACAAAAACATCGGATTGGGCAATCTGACATCTAAACTGGGAATAAGACTGGGAGTTAATGAACGTGAGAGTGGAGGGAGAGAGAGCCCTAGATGTGGCATGTCTGGACCTTTAAGTGAGAAGAATAAAGGTGGGACAGATGAGTTCAGCAAAAGGTAGTAAGACTCTGGCTGTGTGTCAGCTATTCCTGGCAAGGTTACTAGAGAGTTGTTCTTGGAATAAATCTTTCTATATCTCATCTTAAGTGCCTTGTTAAGACTGATGTAAACTCTAATTTACAAGACAAACTATGCAGTAAAAAGAAAATATTGGAGTAAGAAAATGACAGAAAAAATCCAAATATTATTAAATATAAACATATTAATAAAAATTTGCATAAAATGAAATATTCTTAACTCTACATGTAAACTAAAGAAAATACAGAACATTCTCCAGAAGCAATGCATTTTAAGTGTCTCATACTTAAAGCAGTTTGTGAAATATCATGTTGAATTAATGCATCATTATGCTACTTCAGATAAATTATTTTTATCTTTTAATTCTAAGAGAAAACTAGTTAAAATGCATAACCCTATAGCACCCACTTCTTTTTAATAGCCTGAAGTGCAACCTTTTCTTTTTCACTGAGTTTCAAGGAATCAAAGGTATCTGATGAAGTAAGACTTTCATAGACTTTAAAACAGATAATTATTGGGGCTAAAAGGCAGGATTGAGATTTCAGAAAACTGGAATTTCTAGAAAAATAAAATTTTGGATTTGTATGGATGTTCTTGACACACTTTCTCCAGCTCCCAGTATATCTTTGAAACAGATAAAGAAAATCTTGCTAGGTGAGTGACATGGATCTGAAAGTAAGCCTGTACAGCAGAGAGCCTCCTGAGTGAATTGTAGCTTTCAGGAGTCTGGGAAACCCACCAACTAGTACTTTTCATTTATCTTGGGCTGTCTTAGGCTTCTATTCCAACCTGTTGTTCCTCAGTAGATACAGACTTGGAGATAAGTCACTGGAGACTCCTGGTGGTTTGAAACCTGACAGTGACACCAGCAGGATGATGTCATCACTCCCCACTGTGCAACTTGCTCATAGTGTATATCTCATTCCAGCTGCATCTCCCTCTGATTTTTTTGGAGCCATTTCATGGACTGTAAGGAATTCAGAAGCCATGTGTTGGTAACCAGTAGATCCCCTTTTAAAATGAGTACAGAACCAGTCAGGTCCCAGGAAGCTAAGCTTCTGGTGTCCTTGCTTGGAATCTCTCCTACTTCCCTCTTTTCTCAGAAAGGCCCCAAACCAGATTCTAAGGAAAGAACAAAAATGACTTGGTTACAGAGCAGCCAAGTTGGTCAAGCATAAGCTGGTGGAGATAGAGGGTATGAGTAAGTGAATGTATAGACATAAAAGGAGGGAAATTCATTGTTGATGGGTACTGAGGAAGTTTGTGTCGTTTCTGAATTTTATTCCAAGAAATTACAATAATCTTTTCCCTTACCCCAGAGTTTGTCCCAGAGAACACAAGAGACATCCCATCAGAATTAGGAATTGGCATAAAGGGATGGTTTCATTTCCCATCATGTGTAGCAAGTATAAAACTGGAGGCTATTATGGTGTCTTTGGCATCCCCAAATCTTCTGTCAGGGCATCTTTACATTGAGAGGGGCATGTCACTTTGCAATCACATTCAATTGAGTCACTCTCATATCCTGCTTATGAGCAAGTAGTAACCCAGTTCAGTTTTGGTGAATTTGACAGAAAATGCCAATAAGCTGATAAAAGTAATCTCCCATTTATAAATACCTTCAGCTTTTGCACACCCAATGACTTTACAAATTCAGGAAGGGCATGGGCTCACAATGCACAAGGTAATTTTCCCAGTATCAGAATCTGCTTTTTCAAATAGGTCCAACAGGCACATCAGTAGTACCCTTACCTTTTAAAAAAAATTCATGTCCAGGAGCTCTGAAAATATGATTTTAAAACATTTAGGAAAATACTTGAGAGAAAAAAGAAATAAAAGTTACTAAGGTATATATCTGTGTTCAGCATGACCCATAAACTAACACAGAATTTCTCAGCCTGAGCACCATTGACATTTTAGACCTGATAATTCTTTGTTGTGGAGGTGTCTTGTGTATTATAGGATGTTTCAAAGCATCCTGGCCTCTACACACTAGACATCAATAACACCCTCCCCGAAGTAACGACAACCAAAATGTCTGTAGACATTGCCAGACATCAACTGATGTAATCCACAAGAGTGCAGTCTGCTTAAGAAATGTACTTTACAGAGGGTCCCAATCAAAAGGAACCTAAAGAGGCAGCCCACTCCAAGGCACATCATAATTCAGTGGCAAATATCAAAGGCAAAGAGAGAATCTTGAAGGCAACAAGGGAGAAACAGGAAGTAACATACATGGGAGACCCAATAAGGCTAGCAGCTGACTTCTCAACAGAAACACTACAAGCCAGAAGGGAATGGCAAGAAATACTCCAAATAATGAAAAGCAAAGGCCTACAACCAAGGCTACTCTACCCAGCAAGGCTCCCAATTAAAATGGAAGATGAAAGAAGGAGTTTCCTAGACAAAAGAAGTCTGAAAGAGTACACCTCCAACAAACCAGCATTGCAAGATATGCTAAAGGGAGTGATTTAAGATGAGGAAGAAAAAGAGTGAGAGAGTGTTGGGAACCATCCCGCCTAGTTTCAGCAACTGTAAACCTTACCGGCTGGCCAGAGGACCAACCCCAAGGCTGGAGCTAAGCAAGGAGGCCCTGGGAAAATAGGCCACTGAGGAGACAAAACCTGTCCCCCTGGCAGGGGCACAGCCCCTTCCTCCCTCACATCACCCTGTTCGACCTCCCTCACATCACCCTGCTTGGCTGGTTAGTCAATGACGGGTAAGACCCCTCGATGGCAGGAACAACTTAAGACAGGCACAGTCACATAGGGGCCATCAAAGAAGGACTTGGGGGACATGGAGAAGGGGCAAAAGACCCTCATCCTTCAGCTTTGTCATGGCCAGAGTCCTCATTCTATCTGAAAGAAGTCTCCTTATGTCTTGGCTGCTCTGCTCCACCCACCTGGCTCAGGCTTGAAACAATACTAAAGGCAGGTACAGCCCTAAACTGGAGTGGGCAGTGTTGGAACAATTAGGTCTGCAAAAGGAATGCATTAAATCCTATAAAAATTACTTTGCTAAGAATTCTCTCAAGTTAATGAGTACTAATGTTTGGGGTCAAGCATAGAATGTGATCAGTTTCCCAGGTTTCAGGACCGAATGGGTGCCACCCTGTCTACTAGACCTGGACTTGAGGCAAATCACTTGTGTTCCTTCCATTGTTATCTATGATCTCTATCTGTTTCCTGTAAACATAGCCTTTTGACATTAATTGATGAGCTTTGCATTCATGCTGTATACCCCTGCACATATCATTCTCAATAAAAGCCACTTCAAGAGAAGGGCTTGGGGCATTCTCCACTAGAGGGAATCACCACGCCCTTATCTTGGCAGACCAAGAAGTGTCTGGAATGTCTTATTTTATTTTCCTCCATCTGTGGTGACTGGGGGGGGGACTCTGCGTGGAATGCAGTAGCCCCCTTAACAGGCACCCAATGCGGGGACCCGCTCAAGAGAGAGAGAAACACAGGTAAAAAGGGAAAAAATGAATAAGTACCTATCAATAATAACTTTAAATGTAAATGGATTGAACGCTCCAATCAAAAGACATAGGGTAGCTGAATGGATAAGAAAACATGACCTGCGAATGGAACGATAGTGGGAGAGGAGCCTTGGTGCTGCGGACAGTGGATTCGACTCTCAAACATCCCAGTGGGTGAGAAGTATGGTGGAGGCTCGAGAGGGTGGTCTGGGTGCCGACGGGCACTAGCACCAGAGGGACATTGAAACGGCCAGTTAGCTTCCCCCAAGAAGAACGGGGTCTGAATCATAAACAAGGACCCCTAAACTACAGCAGCTAAAACCAAGAAAATACAGACAAAACACAACCCCGAAAAGCTTAGGGGCGCTCTCTGCCAGAGACAGGTGGCTGGGGATGCAAAGAGACATTTAAAGGGCCAATGCAAAAATTGCAGTGGCAGCCACCCTCCTTGATCTCTGGGTAGAGGAAGCAGCAGGATGGGCTGGTGCCTGGGAAAAGACTGGTGAGGAAAACTTTGTGAAGAGAACTGACTCGGCGGCCGGTGGAGCCTGGGTGATAACGCACCTCCCACTCTGCAGCTACCATCTCGCTCAGGCGTAAGGGAATCAATTAATCTGCCTTTTGTGTGCTCCGCACA